TTAGAGGTCTGGATTTGAAACGACGTCGTTGGTTCGGCAATTCTTCTCTCCTTTATCTTGTTGCATTCGTCGTCGTCCTCATAGTAACACTGCAATTTTTGAGAATGGCGAAAGGGAAGAAAGAGCTGCTAGCGTCAGCACCGTGGAGGGTAGAGGCAGAACAAGATGACAAATTCAAAGACGCAAGGCTCAAAGTCACAAGCCAACCAGGTCAAACGCCGACTATGCACGTCCCTGGTAAAAAATCCGTGAAATCCAATGTTAATGAAGCTGATGATTCTCTTGAAATTGACCCTGAACTTCGCTATAGCTTCCAACGTAACTTACAGGTCCTTCTCTCTCTCTCTCTCTCTCTCTCTCTCTGTTTTATGTAATAGGTTACGGCCAGTGTAATTTATGTAGCCGACCCTAAGCTTATAGATGAATTTGTAGAACTAATAGCAGCAAAATCAATGACCGGGACAAGTTATCCCAATGTTGACCACGGCATTTTCTATCGTGAAGACTAACAGCTTGTTTGGATGTTTGTTACCCATTGTATTGTATTGTATCGTATTGTTATTTTAAATACAATGTTTGTTTTGATTGTTACTTAAATTTTTTTTATATCATATTGTTAAATACGTCGTTACGTAACTACAAAAAGTGTCAATTTACGGAACGATGGATTTGGTGTGACGGCGTCCTTATCTTGATTTTCTCTCATCTTGCCCTTCTTTATTATTAAATATTCATATTTTATCCTTTACCCTACTTTTTTATACAATAATTCTAATCCGTATCCTATTTTTTTTAGTAATGTTGTAAGTTTATTCTTTATATTGTTGGTGTGCGACATAATGAAACGATGGCAAACGATACAACCTATCCAAATGTTGTATTCATTAAACAATACAGTATAATACAATACAATACGATACAATATGGCACTTGACTTGGGTCTTCTGGTTAAAAGATAGAGAGCTGAATTGGGTTCCACAACCTAAAGTGGTCATATGTGTGAGATTAGCATACCTCAAATAGTTTCGCTTTGGTAAAGAAGGATTGCTAAATCGTTATGAGGTGGAGATGGTTTAAAGGTACTAACATTCATTTTGGTGAAGTTTTTTGTTTCTTATAGAGCATAGGCCTTAGCAACTTAGACCCATCAAACCAGTTCTTTTCTTGTCTTAGCTGTAGCATCAAAGTGTCTTTCAGTGTATTGCTTGTATCAGGGCAAGCAGTACATTTAGTAGATACTATATATTAGGGTAGATTTTGAGTAGTTCTATACAACGAGGAAACTTTTATTTGTTGTGGTTCAATTGCAATTCCATGTCCTTCCATGTAAGTGGAGAGACAGTAAGTTACTCTGTGTCAAAGTACTGAATTAGTTTCCAGTCTATAGTTTGAACTCGGGGTTTTTTCCTCATTATATTGTTTTTCTTCTGAACCATTTGAATTTAAAGGATCCGTCTGAGATCCATATTCCAAACACATTGAGATGAAGACAAAATATAATTGAAGCAACTTGAAAATACATGAAAAATAAAACGAAAGGAAGGGAAACTATAACAATAAAAGGAAAAGAAGAAGACACAAGGAAGAAGCTAAGGACGGCAATGATAATAGGCAGCTCCTCCATACATACCTATCTCAGCTCATTCCAATTAGCTTCAGCCACCTCTGTTCAGTACATATTGTGTGCTTTGCTCCTCCTTTGTCTCTCATCTTTTACTCTTCCAACCACCCTTGTGCTCTCCCTCCCACTCCTTCGAGCTCTTCTCCAATGCCCTCTATCCTCACATTTGCTACTTCCACAGTTCCACTCTCCCCTATCTCCTGACTGCTTCTTACAAATGCCTTGCTTGAACTATACATTTTAGCATTTTATCAAGCATTATCATGAGTCTCATTTGATAGTGCAAAAGTCCGTGCTCAATGGTTTTGTCCTGTGATCACCTAGTGCTTAAGTTCAGGATTTGACAAGGATACCCACTATGGTTTTGGTTGTCATGCATCAATGAATCATATGTTGAAAAATATCTTGCGCTTTTGGATGATAGCAATACAAGATTAGATCTAAGAGGTTCCAAATGGTCTCTCGGCGCCAAGAATCCTCGGAGTTGAAATTTTGGGCATATTTTCAAGCGATTACCTGAATCATTTGGTGTAGTCAAATGATCTAAGCTGAAAAACGATGAAAATGGAGAGCCAAAATAAATGGATGTGCAATGGAGGTTTGATTGAAGTATGAAGTGAAGGAACTGTGGCATATGGATGGCAAAGCTATGGAGCAGGTGTATGGTTGACAGAGAGAGGAAAAAGGAATTCTCGGGGAAGATAGCTAATTTTTATAAATGTAAAGTCAATATGGTAAAAAAATTGGTGCCATAAAATATGTATAACTATAGATGACAAAGTGCACGGTCCAGAGGTTTGATCTAGTGGTAAGATCACAATGTGTGATGTGTGGATTAGGCACACATCACGGATTAGAATCCTCTCGCAGACAAAAGCCTGGTATTTAAGTAGAGAAGCGTAGAGGGGCGGGCTCATTATCGATCGAGTTTCAAACCATGCGCCACTGATCCTCAGGGATTTCTCTTATCAAAAAGAAGAAGAACAAAAGATGACAATGTGCATAATCCAAACCTTCTTGATGATTGATTCTTCATCTATTTGTTTAAATCTTTTTACAGTAGATTTGCATTTTCAAAAACCAATTGCAGTCTAAATCTAAAGTTAAAGCTGCAGAGATTACAGTCCAAAGGGATCTCATATCTGATGCTAAGAAGTACAGGACAAAGGAAATTTGGAAAATTAAGTGGATGCTCCTTTTGATAATAGATGACTACCTTCAATATCAGTATCTACTATACTAAACAAAAAAGAATATCTGTATCTGTTGTACTCTTAAATTCTATTGAGCCTTTGATTTTTCTTATTTGGTTAAAAAATATTTATACGATTCTTTTACTTATTTGCAGTTTCTTCAACGTGTCTTCAGCATTGACACTGTTGTTAAACCTCTGCCTCCTGCAATGGCATATAATGTTGCTCGTAACTTGACTTTCTTCACGAGTATCTTTACGCAATTCTTTGGTAAGTTTATTTGTCAGTTGTATATTACTAATTTGTTTCAAGGGGAAAAGGGTCCTTCCTTTGTGGTGTCCCCTTGGGAGCTACTTTTGGCTAGTTGGTTATCGTGTTTTCACTGAACTGTTTGTTCTTCTCATGAAGACTCCTTTGTTTGCTTCTTTTGGGGTTTCTCTCTCCTTGTATCTTTTTGTTTCGAGGTGGGGGATTATTTGGCAGTTTTTTTTTTTTTTTGGTTTGCAAGTAAAACTTAGCTGGGCTTGAACTTTGGAGTTTTGGGTGTTAGGCTGGGCCTTAAAACAATTAGCAATATTTGTTTAGTTGTATATATGCAAGCTGATGGCAGTTGCAAATGTTAAGGTGGGAATGTAGTCATGACAAGCAGAATCTTCTGCGATTTGGATAAAAGATGAAAGGAGAAAAAACCCTCTTTTTTTGGCCCCTCTAATAACTTTTAGCCATGTTTCATTTCCTTCATATTTATTTTTCCTTTAACTCAAAGATTTTCATTTTGGCAGATCCTGAAGGAATAGCAAATGCACAAAAATCTCTTGGCTTAGGACAGGAAGAAAAAGTTCGTAAGGTCCGTTAATGGACTTACTTAGTAACTGCAAGGAGTGTTGAGTTTTCTTTTTCCTTTGCTGTACCTCATATATTCTGGAGACTCGGGCAGTTTTGTACTCTATATGCATTTGCTGATAAATGACTAGTCATCTTAAAGTTCATTTAGTTCACCAGCACAAGTGCTAGTGAACTCCTATTTAGCTGAGACTTACGCGACTAGCCCCATTTAGTCTTTCCACATTTTGATATGAACTTCCGATACTAGGTGCCTAATTTAGCTAAAAACATGGGAGATCTCTTCTGAATGGTAATGTTCTTGATCTCTTTATCAACAATCTTTTCTAGGTAATTTCTTCTCATATGTCTAAGCTTTGATGGACAGAATTATTCGGTATCTGTGCTGGTGGGAGATAGCAGGTATTCTATGGTATTAGTCAAGGTGCGCGTAAGTGGATACCAGGGTTATTTGAAAAAAAAAAGGAGATAGTACATGTTTTGACATTAGTAATATTTAATTCAAAGGCTTATAGTCGTAGGGTTCTTTAGGTAAAGTAAAGTGGACTCGGATCCATTGTACTTCTGCAATGGTAAAACTTCCGAAAGGTCCCTCATGTGAGTTCATCTTTATATAAACGGCGGGTGCATGTGTACCCGTTGTCTCAAACGTAACTATATACGTAGAAATCTTAAAAGAAACTTTTCTAAAAAAATTTATACTATATTGAAAGTTATATCCTCTGTTTTTAAATCATGAATCCAATTTTAGCTAGAAGCATGCATTCTTGAGAAAATAATAAGTCCGAGCCTGTTGTATAAAGGGTTAGTAAGTGCAGTTGTCCTCTGCATCCACAAACTTAAATTCCTAGATTTGCTTTGTGCATAGTTCTTCACCTAATAGCAACTGGCAGATAAGTACGAGGCAGCGATTGTGACAACACTCGTCATCTTCAACATAACTATATTGGAGTAATACTTAATTGAACAATTATTAAAGAACTATATTTACTTATAATAAGTTTGCATTTATTGTTAAAAATAATAATGGTGAAATGATGCTTTTTCTATCCACCGATTCAAAATCATAACCTTGCTTGTCTTATGATTATTGATCCTTATATTTATTTCCCTGCCTGCACCACTCAAGTTCTTGCAACAACCTTTTTTTCCAATTCATATAAGTAAATCTATTCATCAGAAAACGATTAATAAATATAATATTTAAAGCATATCTTTTTTCATCTTTTGAAGCATTGTGGATCTTAAGAAATTTGCAGTAAATTGTAGATTCTAACGCAACAACAACAACAACAACAAACCCAGTGTAATCCTATAAAGTGGGGTTTGAGAGGGGTAAAACGTACATAAATCTTACCCCTACCTTGTAAAGGTAGAGTGGTTATTTCCGATCGACCCCCGGCTCAAGATAAAAGTAATAGAAGCAGACACAAGTAGTAAAAATTATAGATTCTAACGCATTCCTAATATATCAGCAACTGCTTCATGGTTCTCCAGTCTTCAAACACTTGCAGAATAAGATTATATTCTCTACTAAATATAGCAAAATATCCAAAAGAAAAAAATTAACTAGAAAAAAGAAAACTAAGTTCACTTCAAATAAATGAGAAGCTGAAGAAATTCAAGTTAATTTCTTCCATGATTTTTCATAGATAAAAAGAGAAATCTCAAAGACTGGCAAGTTGCTGAATATTGATGGGATAAACAACATCAGAACCACCACTGAAAGCCTTCCTCCCAAACAAGATGTTAACTGCCTCAGTTGGATGAAATGCATCCCAAAATATGAATTGTTCCCTATTTTGACATGGTGTTTGGAATGGTAGACATGTTATTTGCCCTCTATTTCTCCCTACTCCACAGCATCCATTATTTATTTCACTAAATCCTGTTACATCATTAACAATGTTGAATACAGAATGTTAGCTTTTGCTTCCAAGGATTTAATACAAAATTCCAAGATATCTTTATTTAGATGGAAAGTAAAAGAAAATTAGACAAAAAGGACTGTAGTAGGGGAGAGCAATAATAACAATAATAGAAGGAAAGAAAAAGAAAGGTAAAGGAAAGGAAGAAAAAGGGGTGGACGGTTAAAGGTTAATTCGAAGGGGGCTTGGAGTAACTGTAAAAGTTGTCTTCATGTGATCTATAGATCACGGGTTAGAGCCGTGACAACAGTTACTAATGTTGGCATTAGAATAGGCCGTGTACGTCACTCCGCTTGGGATGCGGCCCTTCTCGGACCCTGCGTGAAAGTGAGATGCCTTGTGCATCGGGTTGCCCTTTTCAGTTAAAGTGTAACTAAAAATGGATTTAACTTTTATACCTTATCAATTAAAGAATTTTTACATTATCAATATATTTTAACTTGTTTGTAATGGACATGAACTTTTCAAATGTCTTTTTCTTCGTCCAACTGAAATAAAATATAGAATAAAATAAATAAGAATTTTTCTGGAAAGAGTTTGACTTACCATATTGTCTATAATTGGTAAGGAGATCTTGGAACATATTCCTGATGTCAATATAAACAAATTTGGAACCAGGAAGATTGGTATTAAAGTTGTTAAGCATTGATCTAACATTGTTATGGAATGGAAGAACAAGTTGATTGACTTCATCTGAACAAGCACCATTTTGACTTTGTGCTAGAATACTTGGAATACACCCCATTAGTCCAACTCCACCAATCACAAATTTTCTAGCTCCAAGATTATATAATCTCTGCAATTTTCATGAATTGAATTGGAGGTTAAAAAACATTAGTTGATAAATAAAATGAAAAGTACTAGTTTAGAGTAAAGTCCTAGGTGAAAATGACTTAACTCAAATCTCTGTTGTCTTATTTAAAGAGAAGGAAATCACCTCAAATTGATAGATGAAGATGGAATATTGTTTTAAAAAAGAAAAAGAAAACATAGAATTTTCCACAAATGATGTTACCAAATAATTTTTAACTAAAACAATCTAGCAGAAAAGGTTTGTTTTAAGGTTTTCTCTTCCTGTTTAAAACAAATACAGTGTTGGTAAAAAGGAATTTATTATTTATTCAATGTAGTACAAAAAAATATCAAATAATAAACTCATTTAAATAAATAAAGTATTTGAAAAAAAAATTAATTATTCTAATATTTATTGTGCTGAAAATGAGAGGAACCAGCGAGATCACGCATAAGAAATTGCATCCCACTAAAAGAGGAAAAGATATATAGTTTTTCACTTTTTTTACTTTCACTTACCAGCCACAAACAAAAAAGAAAAGAAAAAGGAAAAGAAAATATAATTTCTTTCTTTTCACCGAAAACCCTCTCCTATAAAAGCATATATTATATTGGAAAAAATGGATACACTAATTTGGAAAATTACAAAAGAGATAATAAGAAACAAAAAAAAAAGAGTCTTACCATAAGTTGTTGATTATACTGCTGAACCAAGAGACTGGCAAATTCTTGAGCATTATATTGATTCTTTGTATTGTAATTAGGCATAAGGTAATTATTAAGGTAGTCATTGCTTCCCATTCCAACAAAGAAAATAGATTTGGCTAATGCCTCTCCTACATCTGATACTCCAAGATTGCTTCTGATTTGGTTAACTGTGCTCTCAAAATTTGTGATTTGCTGATTGAATGGAATACGCCCTACCTGTATAAGATTAATAATAAAAATGTCCAAGTAATCATGTAAGATTCTATGAAAAGAAACTAATGTGACATTTTAAAAAGTTAAAAGTAAAAGCACTTGGATAGGTGGTTTAGGTGTAGTGCATTTACCTTTATTTATTCACTTTGTTCATGGATTTATTATTACAACATTTTAAGTGTCAGCCATTTACATTCTATATATGAATTTGACTCATCAATCGATCCTCAAGGGTTCTCGACTCATATAGTCTCTGTTTTGGTGAAAATATCACGGGCTAGCCAGTTTTCGGATCGGTAATTAAAAAATAGCTAGTATATGTAAAGTCATTGAAAAATAATCATTATTTTGCTGTAACACGGTAAGTTCCAACATAATATAATGGAGATTGGTGCACCTGTGTATGAACTTCCAGCATAATATGCTGGAACTCCAACACACGGAAAGTTACAGCATAATATGCTGGAGATTGGAGCACATCTGTATGAACTTCCATTATGCTGGAAGTTCACATGTAAAAAATTCGAACTCCAGTATATTATGCTGGAATATTTTCCGGATTTTGAACAGTATCTTCGTTCAGATTTATCTTTATATGAAAAGTGGCTAAATTTCCATTACTTTTGAAACTGTGGCTATTTTTCAATTACCACTTGTAAATCTGATTATTTTTGAATTTCACCCATTGTTTTGTCCTTTCACCAATAAATAAGGGGTCCGAACTTGGGGTGTTTATGGTTCGGTTTGGGTCGGTTTTTCCCTAAAAAGAAACCAAACCAAGTAAATCGATTTTTCAAATATTTGAACCAAACCAAACCAATTAAGTCGGTTTTTTATCGATTCGGTTTTTCGATTTTTCGGTTTTTTCGGTTATTTGTCGATTATTTCTTAAATATGAGACATACACTACCAAACGCATATTCCGGCGAGTATATTTTCAACGTAACGCTATCAAACCAATTGCTCTTTGAGAAATCTATCATTTACCAAGATATATTAATGATAATTGACTCAAATAGTGATGAATAGCTTAAGTACTCAATTAAAATCGATTATTTTTAACATGAAATAAATTCTTGTACTTAATAAAAGAAAACTACC